GGAGTCCAGCACCTTTAACCACCATACCACCTACCAGCCCCAATAAATTCATACTTTAATTCTATTTTTCCATGAACTTGAAAAGTTTCCTTGCATACATAGATGTATATGTGTGTATGCATGCTTATGCAAGGATTCTTTCTCAGGCGTTTGAATGGGTTTGTGTGGGGCTTGCATCTCTTTATAAGAGTTGAATCCTCTTGCTCTTGACATTCAAAGTAAGGCCAGGGTGAAGCAAGGATCTTCAGAGAGCCTGATGTTGGCCCTGGGCAGATGAGTGGAGAGAAGGTAGAAAAATCAGCCTCTCCCTTTGTGGGTTAAAATTACTCAGAGGGATTACTCAGTTGGAAGAGAAGAAGCATTTTACCTCCAGAGTTGCAGTCAGGCTGGTGGGACCACATATCTATACCAAACTTCTAAGTGTATCGGAAAACTGACAGGAGTCCCAGGAGGGTGAGAAGCTGGTAGATTATGCTGAAAGCAGAGAACGATGGGAGCTGGCAGTACAAGGTACAAAGTGGGAGAGAGTATAGTTATTGGAAAATGCTGGCTGTTGCCTCTGTGAGTGGGTTCTTCTTAGTACACTGTGAGTTGTATTCTGGTGCGAGAATGATATTTTCTTTATCCTGAGCCTTACTCTTCATTGTTCACCTTCATTGTTCAGATTTTGTAAATGGATATGTGACATCTTGAAAAAGGCAAGGGTAGTTCCTGCTTTGTGTGTATCTCTGAGTCACAGAATTGTACCTGAGGAATGTGGACCCCTCTGCGTCCAGGAACAGTAAACAAGGCTTCTCTGTGTCTCCTCATCTCTGTAGCTGTGCTGGGACTTCTCTCTTAGAGAAGTCTATTAGACTATTTTCAGCTCCCTGTGGGTATCTCCAACATGGGTTTCTCCTAGCCCTCAGACCCTGTGTCCACAACAAATGTATCACCCTCGCCCTACCTGCACCATCGCCTGTCCCTCTATTTGGGTGATGGCACCACTGTCTTTTAGTCACCAAGGCTGGCAGGGGCCATAGCCCTCTTGCTCTGCATCCTCAGTTGCTTGCTAAATGTGTTTGGCTCTACTTTTGCAGCCTTAAACATTATCTTTTTCACTGAAACATGATGTAACATGGATGAGCTTAGAAATATGCTAAGTAAAAGAAGCCAGACATATTGTAGGATTCCATTTATAGGAATCCCAGAATTCATATGGGTGGGAAAGACTCATGGTTTCTAGGGGCTGGGGAAAAGGGAAATAAGGGACTGACTGCCTCATGTGTATGGGGTCTTCTCTTGGGGTGACAAAATGTTTTGGATCTAGATGGAGGTGGTGACTGTACAACAGTGTGACTGTATGAAATGCCATTGACTGTACACTTGAAAATAGTTAATTTGAGGGCCAGCAGGTGGCGTGGTGATTAAGGGCACTGGACTCCCACATGGCTGACCGTGGTTCGAGTCCTGGACCTGGTGACTTGCTTTCTCACTTTCCTTCTCCCTCTTATTCTTTCCTTCTTTCTCTTATTCTGTCCCTCTCTGGTGAAATTTAAATAAATAAATAAATAAAGTTAAATAAAATTATTCTTTTTTTTAAGAAAAGAAAATGGTTCATTTTATGTTAAGTGAATTTTAACCTCAAATAATGTATTCTGTCTTCCGCACTCTCAAATTCGGACAGTGTCACTCTGCTTAAACACACACACTTGCCCCAGTGATCTATTATAACTCTTCAGCCTGATAGAGAGAATCATTACTACCTAGCCCAGCCCTGTCTCCCTGGTGAGTTTCCCAGCCCATGGCTGTAAACCCTGGAGTGAAAAGAAAGAACAGTTCAGAAGGAAGACAAAGGACTTCATGCCCTCTGGTCCTCTGAGGTTTGTCTTAGAAAAGTCACTTTGTCTATTGATAGATGA